AACGAGAGGGAGCGGGAGGACGGGGAGAAGCTCGACGTTTCCAGAGCGATACGAATCTTTATGGCGGAAAGATTCTCGCCATCCTCCGGAGTTCAAACCCTTTGCTTTTGTTTGTTCTCGTTGCTCCTTTGTTCGGCCCCCATCGGCCCCCTCGACACCCTTTTTCGTTTGTTTGTCCGCGCAGAGAAGGCTTCCTCCTCGCCTCGACGTGGATGCACGTGGAGAAGCTCGCGATCGATCATGCTTTCCGATTGCTCGCGATGCCAAGTGCCGTTTGATCGCCCCGGCGAACTCGTTTAGCAAAATTCTAGCAACTCGATGCACGGCAGATGTAACGGTCGTGGCCGGTGCACCTTTTCTGGTCATCGATATCATCATTCGTATGTTCTTATTATATTTGAAATTGGCAACAGTTTCGAACGATCAACCGAACTTCGAACTGTATCGGATTGGCAACTAAGTTCCCGCCGCATTTATAAATTTGAACATTCCGCATGTCATTAAACGTTTTTGGCACAATGTTTCAAATCGTTCGAAGGAGGATGTTTTCTTCTACCGGAATCTATGTTTTGTTTTCTTTTTCTTCGAGTTAATTTATGTTAATCTTCAGTTCATTAAAATGGAATGTCAAGTCGAGAAAAATGAGCATTTTCGACATCTCCTTGTTTTTGCTTCTGATCAAGGTTCTGAGGCCGCGAAAGCTGCTCGCGACATTTGTGCCGTGTATGGAGAGGTTGCCACAGCTGAAAGAACTGCTCGCGATTGGTATGCCAAGTTCAAAAATGGAAATTTTTTACCTCGAAGACGCACCTCGTTCTGGCCGTTTAGTTGAGTTCGATGAAGAGCGATTAAACCAACTTCCGCACGAAAATTCGCGTCAAACGACAAGGGGACTGTCAGAGAAAATGAAATGCTACCACGCTAGATAGAGAAGATATAATAGATAAGATAGATAATAAATAAGATAATAGATAAGAATATATAGAGAAACATTTTCACTCAATGGGAAGCATGAGTTCCTCATGCTTTAACCCTTTGCCCTCGAGTGGTGACACCGAGGCGCCATTAAAAATTGTTATGTCGGAAGCCTAACTGTTGCATGGGTCACAATATTCAATTTTATATGCATAAAATGCAGTATGTCATATAAAATGAAAAAACTGTGGGTTCGGAAAAACTGTTTTAAATTTTGCGGTAATTCGGCTTCGAGTGCAAAGGATTAAAGTGATAACGAACAAAAATCGACGAGCTTGGATGGATGAATTATTCGAGTCGAAACCGGGTGATATCTACCAATGAGGTATTGAAAATCTTGTTGAACGTTGGGAAGAAGTGGTAAACAACAAGGAAGAATGCATTATTGATTAATTAGTTGACAATTTTTATTGAAAAATAAACTTTCAAAAAATTTAAAAAACGGCGGGAACTTAATTGCCAATCCAATAGAAGATATATTGCTTCTATTAGGTTGGTCGATAAGTCATTGTGTTTTTCTATATTGCTATCTATGAGGAAAAATCACTTATTGGTGGATACGTACAATTAAGGAAAAAACCATTCGTTCTGCACCATAAAGTATTTCAGTGAAAAACATGCGGAATTGTGCGTTTTTTCATTGAATAAACGTAAAAGTCGCGCGTCAAGCAGGATAGCTACATTTACTAATTAGGCGTACGAAATACAATAAATTCTCCCCAATCGTCTCGCATCTTCTAAGCAAAAATGAACAATTTGGGAAGAGGAGATACGGTTATTCGACCGTTGCGGCTCGTTTTTATAGTTATCGACAATCGGCAACCATAAAAACGTGCCACGAGGTCTCGAATAATCGTATTCTCTCTTCCCAAATTGTTTACAAGCTGAGGGACGATTGGAGAGAATTTACTGTATGCAGAATCACGATACGTATAATCTGAACATAACCTCAAGAAGGAGAAAAATAGAAGGAAATTTGAGAGGAAGAGGAGAAGACTAAGAATGAAAGGAACAAGCGAAACATGAAAGAACAACGCAAAAGAACTTTTTAAAATAAAACTACTTTCCCGTTATCATTACATACCATTATACGTTGCAACAAGCTCTTCGGATACCGCAAAGTAAAATACAGAAAAGCGAAATTCCCGAAAAATTTCGCTGCATTCGAATCACTCGTATCATTTCTTATTACAAATTTATGATACGCGTACAATGAAATTTATCAGGTGAAAAATACGCATTTCGCTATTTCTCTATCGCGTTAATATTTGAATCATTTTCTCACCCTATCGCAAAAGTTCGATATCGAAACTAAAAGCATTAAATAATCTATAAAAACTTGCATATTTCCTGTGCGAAAATTTCCTTTCCATTCTGTGAAGATATTTGTGATGAAATTCATGTGAATCCTTAACCTTGGCCACAACCGGTGCACCAAGCCTAGCTCCGCGATCTCGTTTAACGAGGGTGTAACGGCGTCGTTCGATAACGAGAGTTTAAGAACGCTGCCTAATGATTTCCCCGGTCTTTGGGATCCCTCTGTGATCCAGGACACCGCAGTTCTCCTCGAGATTAGCTTGGCTTTTCTAAATCTCATTACACCGTGCTCGATCTTCATTACGCACGACCTAGAGCTTCTCTATGCACTTGCCGCTTCGGGAAGCGCGGTTACTCGAGTCTGTTTCAAATTACTACTAATTACCGCACTTAATGGACTCGTTCGTCTCCACTCTATTTACCGCTGGCCAAGATGCTGCGCGCGTTTGTTCGTATACCGGCTTTCGCGATTCCGAAATTCTTTCTCGCCCGATAACACCGCTTCCGATCTCACCCGGTCGTGTCAAAATTAATCGAACGACACGAGGCTTTTTTTTCAAAAACCCGACAGCGTCGTCGAAACAATCGCTACGGGACTGATCGCGGGAAACGCTCGTTCTCAACACTTGCACCTCGAATTTCTGCCGGCAATAAATCCTGGCGACGCGGTATTTATACGGCGCGTATAAAATTCGCGCTCCAGTTGCCGTGCATCTTCCCGTTAATCGGCGTAATTACACCGATGCACCAGGGGCCAATTAAAGCGCTGTAATTGAAGTTGCTAGACCGTGCCGCTATTAAAGCGACACGTTATTGCCTTATTTGTTTTCTGTCCTTTTTAATTTCCGTCGCGGGTGGAGAATAATCGGCGGTGTTTACCGGCCACCCCTCACCGATCCTCTTCCCGTTTAATTGCCTCCGCGAACCGACGCGATTTCCCTTCCGTAAATAAAGAAATTACCAGCCTGAAAATAACGCCGGAAACCATTTTATTATACCTAGGGCAGATGTCCCAGTTTCCGCGCTTTTAACCCAATTTCTGCTTCGCCGAGACTTTCATCGAATACTTCAATTTTCATTTAATCCAGTAAAACTGTACCGCGATTTTTCAGATATTTCTGTTTTTAGGAATATTTCTTTGAGTGAGAGAAATTAGTAATTCAATAATGTAATTGCTCTAGCATCGATCGAATAGAAAAAGATAATATTTAAAAAGAAAAATTTTATATATAAATTAACGATTTATACCTTTTTTATCATGTTTACCTATCGACATGCAAGATTTAGAGAAAAGTGTTATATTGTTTACGTATTAAAATGTAGTAGGTAACATATAAACAATGTAACACTTCTCTCTAAATATTCCATGTCGATAGGTAAACATAATAAAAAAATATAAATCATCAATTTATATGTAAAACTTTTCTACACGTTTTCAATATGGCGGCGTAGAAATTGGGACATCTACCCTCTTTTCGCAAGTTTCTCGGGTCCTCCCGTGCACTTCCTGTTTCCAGGAACATTTGGATCAATGTTTCATTTTTTCACAACAATCCACGCTCGGCTGTTTACAGTTTATGGAAAAGATGTTCAATGCGTTCACTGCCGAAGAACAACGTCTCTAAATTCGACTTAATTCGATGGACGCTAGGTTCGCGGCTTGCGGAATATTAGAAGCAACTATTTTATATTACTCAAATGATCGGAATAACAAAAATATATTTATTCAGATTTTTTAGAGATCGTTTTTTTCTATTAGCGATTTTTAGCTATATACCCATTTTTTCGAATTACTGTAATTGCACCCATAAATGCGAGTTCACAATTTCACTGAACGTGAATTAAAAAAAGTTTTGACCGCGGATTTTTATGGAAATTAAAAAAAATTGTCTACGTTAATCGCAGGATACGGATGCTACGAAGAAGTTAATGTATCTCTTTTCTGTCTTCAATTACTTTATTCAGTTAAAAATGCCGGCATTCTAATTTTCTTAAATGTTCTTACTGTTTTGCATTTGATCTGCTAATTTTTCGTCGCAAATGCGTAGAATCTGCAGTCTTTCATCGCATCCCTGGGATCTCAATTAAAGGCAGTCAAAAACGAATCGTCGGTTTCGCCGAATGTAAAATTCCAGCAACAAAATTCTGGTTGTCCCGGGTCAACGTTTCGGACGGCACGGATCCCATCGCGATTCGATTCGAATGCAATCCGCGCGTCATCGTCGCGAGTCGCAACCGCAGAAATCCAACCGGGACGAGTCGCTCGAATTTATCGCCGATTAGATTCGCATAATTCGAGGACTTTCACTCGTCCACGGGCCCGCGTTGCTTTCGCTTCTCGCATCTCGCTTCTCTCTCCTCTCTTCTCGCTACGAAAATACGTAAGTAGGACTTCGGCTGCCGTCGGAAGTCCTCTCGAGAGAACGCGCTGCTCGGAGCCGGTAAACAAGCGGCAACCTGTTTAAAAGAAGAAAAACAACTCGAGAACGATAATGCGAAAGATAAATATTGTCCTAGAACGTTACGCGTTCGCAATCGATTCGCTAACGGCCGAACAGAATAAACGATTAGCGAAACGGCCAGCCGTTCTTTATTTATTCGCAACGTGGATTTCAATACGGGGATAAATAAAGCGCTCGACAATTTCTAAGGAGCGAAGGAGTTACCTGAAAATTCTGGAGCACAAGGAAACGAAAAGAACAACACGCTTTCGGTGGTTTTACAATTTTTTTTGTTTTCAGTTTCGTTACCTCTGCACGGGTTTAGTACCTCGCCGTGAAATTCCAGCGACAAAATCGACGGTATACAATAGTCTTTGTTGCATAAACGCGGCGTTACGGTCTTTCGTATGTGTGTACAAAGAATCGAAACGTTGGTAGAAAAATCGCAAAAATTTTTGGTGAAAGCAGCGCCCGATTATCGCATGGACGGACCGTTGGCGTAACACGATAATTGACAGCGAACACCGCGATCGCACGAACGCTGATTACGTACGAGCTTCGAGAGATCGAATCGGATCGCGTTTCGTCGGTCACTGGCAGCTGGAAGCACTTTTTGCAACTTTCTCCTTTCGCTCGGACGAGCCACGAAAATAGCGGCGTGGGCTCGGGCCGCGCTCGAGCCCGTCAAATCTTTATTTCTTAAAATGATAATCGTTTCGAACCCGTCGACCTCCTGTAAAAATTTACCCGATAGAGCACTCTAATTATTGTCGTTATTATCACTTTGCACTCGATGATATTCGAACTCCTATTCTTTTCCGATTATTTGTTCTCCTTTTTCGCTGTTCTAATTCAATATTCAGACATTTAACAAAAAAATGTGATTTGGAGACATTCTGTTATTTCGTACCAAATAGTATTATCTGCAATACTATTATTATCGTATTCAATACAACAGTGGTATGTACATCAATCAAGAAACCAGGTTACCGTTCATAGTATCTGCAAAGTGTGGAAAATTTAGTGAAAACAATATTTCGTTATTTTCGACAATCCAATTATTAGATTATAAATTTATAATAATAAAAATATAAATATAAAAACAGAAATGAAAAAAGCTTTAAATTCCTTTTTCTTGGAACTTCATTAGTTGTACATATCTCAATGTTGAATTAGAGCAGCGATTTGTAGTATTGAACAGTTACTTATGCTATGCTACACTCGAATTTTCAACGGTTTCTCAAATAGAAACTTTATCAAAAACAATGGTATGTCGAAAGTTTTTGAGATTACACCACGGTAAATTGAATCGCTACCACCGAGATGCCATTCGAGTGCAACGGGTTAAGTCCGAATAGATTCAGAGCTCGGATTGCTACACCCTAAACAATTTACGCACAATTGCACCCTGGTAATTACGTTATCGGCATTCTTCGTATTCGTTTGAATCGCGACAGTGTCAATCTCGACGAAATCTCGACGGCCGCGGCTGCGAAACGCGCTGCTGATTCCCAACCGCAAACGACTACCTTGATTTTATAATCTAATCTCCGAGGATGATTCGCCGCCCATTTTCTCCCTCTTTGCGACAGCGGCGCTTCGTGCACCTGCAGCGAGTCTTCGCAAATCGCAAAATCATCGCAATCGTCGTAGCTGGAAAGATTTCGATCCGCGAAGTTGAATGTATTGGAAACGAGCACATTGTCCAAACGAGCGCTGAAGTTTTCATTGATGAGACTGTGCTCGTGAGAATTCTCGAGAATTTTCAAGAATTTCCAAGAATATTGAAGAATTCTCTGCTGAATTCCGAGAGTTGTTTCGCGCGTCCCAAACTCGGCGATTCGCGACAAAAGATTTGCGACTCGGAGAGACGTAATTTGCATGCTGTCGGTTGGTCGCCGATCGCGCCGCTAAAAGGGGTGAAGATAAATCGACAAGGTGGTCGATCGAAAGCCGCGACACTGTCGAACCAAACCGATAATCGAATGCCGTGTTTACGATCGCCAATGGTTCGCGAGACTTTTCGTTTCGACGGGATTCCGATAAGAAGGCCGACGAAACGGTCGCGTCGGCACCTTAAAATTCTAGTAACAACACCTTGCCCGCCGCTTATTAGCCGGAACTTCGACGACGGCCAAGGAGACGGGCCGACTTTATCATCCATCGAGGCCCGATGCTGCACCTCGTTCGATGATTTCACGAGCAGGCATTGATCGATGAAATCGGGCGACCGCTGAACAATCTCGACGAGCATTCCGAAAAAACAGGTTGTCGAGGTACACGTCGGTTGCTTTCGCATAAATTTCACAGTTTCAACTACATTGTTTTTTTTTTTTTCAATAACGCATTTATTTCAGCTGAAAATATTGCATCCGACAAGTTGTCGAGCTCGCGGCCACGTTCTTTGGCTCAACGACTTAACCTTTTAGAATTTTACGCGACCCGACGCGGCGGAAAGATCGCGCGGTTTCGTCGGTGCAGAAACCGCGATCTTTTTACAATGCCGCAACAATCGGGTGTCCAGAGGCCCAACGGATCGTTGTTTTTTTGTTGTTGTTTTTTTTTTAATCGCAGCTTAACACGCTATATGCGGGAAAGGTGTAGATACTTTTTCAAAAAATTTAATTTCTTTTTAATTTCGTTATACATTATGAAGGAGTCCCTCTGTGAAATCCGAGAAATCCTCGTTATATACTTGTTATCGAAACCTTATATTTTCGGTATTCCAAATGTTAAATGTGTTCCTCGAAACGCGGATTTGTTCAAAATTCACTGATTTCCCCCCGTTGGGCGCGAGTTAAGCTCGATCTCTGACCCGCAGATAGTGTGCTAATGAACATGAATTTAATTCTTCCAAAAGGACGTATGTACATAGTTTCAAAATGTCAGCTGAATGGTTAGAAAAAATTAGAATTATCCCTGCGTCGATCCAATAGCCGACAGAAATCTGAACGGACATTTCGACGAGGTGGACACCCCCGTTTCGAATTACCGCGGTAAATTGTCACCATCATTCAGCATTCGTTAGGCCAGACGATGATAGAAATCGACATATTCGATGAACGCGATAACTGATGAAACCAGAGCCACGCGAACGATGTTAAACGTTCGCGGCGTCTGGCGCACCTGCGGTCTTCCTAACGGCTATTCGTGCAATATATTAATAAGATTACGAGAACTCAATTAAATAAATAAAAACAAACGTAGAAAATGATTAACGCCGAGACGTATGTACAACCGATATAATCAGTGAGCGAACAATCTTGAAGCGTTAGTAGAACCTGGGACGCGTTCACCGGGCTCCGCAGTCCGCCGGCGAATAAAATTGAATCGTTCCGCGTAAAATAAATTCCGATGCGAGTTCGTGGATGCTCGGTTGCTCGACCTGTAATTTCGCTTTAAGCATCGACGGAATGTCGCGTTTGCCATTAATCGGCGATTTAACGGGCGGAATGAACGGCCGCTCGATACTCGAGCCGTACCCGAAGCGGAGCCTCGTGAAATTATTGTCACGGGGGACCCGGTGAACGCGTCTGGAATTCCGAAAGCATTCGGAGAAAGTTTAAATAAATCTTAGTGGAAGATTCGCGAATGTTTAGAAACGTAAGAGCCACTATTACTTACGACTTACGGGGTACGGGAAACGAAAATTACGAACGCTGTCTTTCTCTCTCTCTCTCTCTCTCTCTCTCTCTCTCTCTCTCGCCGAGTTCGTGCGACGTTCTAATTGTAAGCAACGTCGACGGTTTTGTTTTCCGAAAGTTTCAACTTTTCAATTGTCAACACGAGACCACGGTATTCCTCGTTCACTCTCCCTCTCAGCCGTTTCTCTTTCCCTCCACCGGCTAGAATGAAATGCAGCTCATAGCGAATAGTATAGTCGAGAAAATAAATTATGCAAAGGTGGGATAGATGACGCATGCGCCGCGAGTCCCGCACAGCGGCGTGGCGCGCCTTTGTCCGATCGTAGTTCAGAATTATGTATAACGTTCACGCGCGATAGACGCGCCACGCCGTTGCGCGGGACTCCTGCGCATGCGTCGCCTGCCCCCACCCCTTGCGTAGCCTCTTTTCGTGAGTACACTAACTAAGGAAGTTTGCGAACTCAAAAATTCGGAATATTCTGAAACTTTGTACACAAGTAGCGTAGGCCTCCAGTGACACAAAACTATTTTTTCTTAGTGCTAAATTCCACTTTGAGGTGGTGAAATCAACCTCCAAAGTTTTGGCATTTTTTGTTCTTTTTTTGTCTGCATAACTTCGTAATGCTAAGAAATACGACAAAGATGGCCAGAGATAAATTGTGCAACTTTTTATGCTCTAGAACCCCATTTATGTAAAAAAAATATACAAATCATTTATATAACCGTAAATGATAGAAACGATTGTTTATATTTCATTTTGAACGATCTAACGAAATGTAAAATAAAAGAATTTTTTGTTCGAGTAATTGTCATAAATAATTAGTTATCGTTACACGTTTACATCGTTACCATCTGCGTGTAACGATAATTAATTATTTGTAACAAATGCTTGAACAAAAAATTCTCTTCTCTCACATTTCGTTAGATCGTACAAAATGAAAACTTTTTCGTACGGAACAATCGTTTCTATCATTTACAGCTATATAAATAAATAAAAGCAATTATTTATTTTAAAAAAATTGTACGATGAGAACAGTTTTTTGTAAGCAGCACGAAGTTACGCAGAAAAAAAGTACAAACCTTCGAGAGTTGATTTCACCACTTTAAAGTAGAATTTAGCACTGACAAAAAATAGTATCGTGTTACCGGGTACCAACGCCGCTTGTGTACCAAGTTACAGAATGTTCGGAATTACTGAGTTCGCAAGCTTCTCTAGGGAGGATTAGGATCGTTGTTACCTTAGGCTTAGGCCTTTAGACCCGTTTCACACGAAGCTGTTACTATTGTAATCCGCTAGTAAGCCGCGGATACGTGTATCGCGACGCACGCGTCCTCGTGTGAACGAGCCCATGGGTTTCAGAGGAATGCCGTGTTTGCTCTGACCAATAGTCGGGCCTGATAAACGCGAATTTCCTTCGTATTTTCGAAAGGATATTATAATTACTATTGTTAGTATTCTATGTACGATTCTGCGAAGTTGCGGGAAATGAGAACGAGCGAAAGAAAATTCGCATCCGGTGGCCCGATAGAGCAGAACAGCAGGAACAACTCGACCGATTCGTTTGTTCGGGGAATTTCGTTCCTCTGGGAATTTCGATCGAACCGTTTGTGCGCGCAGTTCTCGTCGCAGTTCACGGCGGAAGACAGCGTTCGTAGATAAAGTTGATCTAACAGGTGGTAAAAATAAACATGAAAATCAAAAGTAAGATAGACAAGAGAATCTCTCTTGGAGTAACTTAGCGACGGCTCACGTGAGCCGCCGGTGTGTCCTACGTGGCTAAGTTGTGCTTACGTGCTAGATCGTTCATGGAACATACAACGTTAATATATCATAGATATATGGGACCAAAATCACCAGAACCAGTCGCGCAAACGTTCTCGCCTCGAGCGATCCACGGTCGTCGTTCCTTGGAGAAACTTTCAGAGAAACCCAGTGCTGGTAGCGTTCGTCGGGACGTCGGAACGGATAAACCTAATCGCGTGTCTCGGGACGATACGGATCGCCTCCTCGCGATCGTTTCGCGCCGCGCTAGCTGAGATTTTCCGGCCCGTCCGGCGGGCAGCGTCGAGCGCGCGTCCGCGAAAGGACGCGTTGCTGATCGACGCCAATTTTTGCGAGCCGCTGGCGCCGTCGGGAAGGCACTTCGGAACTTACTTTGGAAGGCACTGTTCGATTTCTCGATCCAGGGGCGTCTCAGAAGATTCCGTCTGAGACCGGTCGTTCCTACGCTTCGCGTCGAAGGGACGCGACGCATTGAGATTACCCTAACGTCGCTTTAGAAATGCCAATGTCAGAAACATTCGAGGATCGAGATGAGAACACGGAGTCAGCGAAACGCTCCGTTTTCGAAAATACGCAACTCGCTAGCAAAATACTCTGTGATAAACTTGAGAATACACGCTTCTCGCTAGGAAAACACCCTGTTCGAGATTAGAATGGGTCAAAACGACCGAATTCTTATTTCATAATTCTTTAGATAATATTTTACAAACTTTGAAATACTGTTCCATGGGAAACGTTTGAATAGATCGCTTTGTTCGAGCAAGTTTTGCAATAGAAACCTCGGAAAGGCTACGCGAGTTCGATCTTCTCACTGTTGCTCGGTGGATTCGTCGTTTAAACGTCCCGGGAAGGTCCGCAATCTAGAGTAGAAAAATGTGCAAATTCGTTCGTTCCGGACATATAAAAATACACGAGTCGAAAAATTGTACCGCGAACCTGCTGAAAAAAGGAAGGAAAGAACTATCCATCGCGTAAAACTGCTACGCTTGTACTCTGATTATGAAAAAGATCGGCCGTTATCGTCCGCGCCGAGAAATATTACCGTTTGGGTTTTCGGTGAAAGCCGAATAAAATATGGAACGACGGGACGGATCGAGCAGCAGCGAATGGTTCCGCGCGCTGGATCGTCCACGGACCGTGGATCCGCGGGATCGCGCGGGATCACGCGGAGCTCGAGACACCGGCAACCGGCGCTGGTAAGCAATCTCGAGAACAGAGAAGGAAGAGCGGTTTTCTTCCATTTTTGTTTCCCGGCGGTTCTCCGCCTCGCATCTTCTTAATCATTGTTTCGTCGTTCTCGAAGCAGAGCGTCGCCGCCGCGACGGTAACACTCGAAAACGATCGCGGGACGTACCTCCCGGCATTGGTTTCGAGAGTGTCGATCCTAAATAAAGTCCCTCGAGCCGTTCCAAGCCGCGAGAAACAGCGTCGCGAGCCTGTCGCGCGCGTCCTGTACCAGCGAGGCAGCCGCCGTGGTGCGGTAACGACACGCTGACGTTGCCGCAACGATATATAATACCGATTTAGTGTCAACGCCAGCCTGTCGTCGAATGGCGCGAACGGCCGTTGGTAGTGCTGCAGTAATATTACCGATATTATATCAACGTAGCAACGATACTGGATCTGTTAGCGATACGATATTGCGTTACTTATTGTTAGAAGTTACGTAACGTTACGTTACGCTACGTTACGTTAGTACGACGTTAGTGTTAGCTCGTGTATGGTACATTACTGGTGGATCGGAGACGGCGCCGATTGACTGGCTGGTACAGGATCGTCGGCGACGGCTGTTTTCAAACCCTCTTTAGTCGTTTACGGTGTCGTCGAACGCGATTCCGATGGTTCAACGGAAGACAAAGGGTCTCGCTATCCCATCTGCATCGTCAGCGTTCCATCGGTCGCGACAGTAAGGAAGCGAAACAATGAATTGGTAACGGCAAAATAGCCGCATGCACCGACCACTTCGAGCAATGTCGCAGAAAACGATCGGCGACGAGTTCGTTGCGTCTCGCTCTGCCACGCGATGCAAACGGGTTAACGCGTTCAATAGCCCCATTCTTACGTAGACTACGTTATCTCGGGAGCTTTAAGAGGGCTTTCGCATCGCTTTTGTTCGTAGCACTCGTTGTCCAGTTATTACTTTTCGTTTGCATATTCCTGCTGCGTTCGCGGGGGCGCCTTCTAATCGCTGGTTCCCCGGACACCGTACCGATCGATATCGATACCGATGCCAATGCTCCTCTCGACCCAGTCTCGACCGCAGCAGGGTTCAAGTTGTCTTTACCGATACGCGCGATGGACATTCGACAGCGAAAGCGTCGAACGAACGACGAACGGCTACTTTAGATTGAGCAAATAGTGAGCGAGGCGCCGGCCGAGAGACCTCAGGATCGACCAAAATCCGTCTTTGGGACGCGGCTGCAACCATAACGCGGCTCCGCGGCTGTCGCGGTCCGACCAGCCGCTCGCCGCGGCGAAATGGTGGCTCGGGTAACGCGGAATCAACTTAATCTTAAGATAAAGATGGTTTCTATCTTGTATGTTACAGCTGGTTAATTGGGGGCAGAGACAATTGGATGTGGGGGTTCTTCGGTCAAAATTGTTGGGATCGATGAGGAGAAGGAGGAGAAGGAGGAGACTGGACAGAATTGTTGGGGGGAGGGGGTAAGTGAATATAAGGGTCGCCCAAAACGGGCGTACTAGAGACACCCATCCGCGTCGCGGCGTGATCCGCGAAGGATAGCGAGCCGGACACGGTGGATCGTTTACCATCGACCTCCGTGGCTGATTCTCTTTTGACCATACACACTAAACAGAAGACGCAAACATATACAGGCGCACAGGACAGGCACGCAGGTAGGCAAGCAGGCAGGCAGACAGACAGTCAGGCAAACAACAAGCCCGGAACACGGGCGACAAACACGCAGGAGACACGAACGCGTGCGACGCGTGTCTCGACCACAGCTAAATATAGACGAGAAGGAGAGAAGATTCAAAGAAATTACGGGTGAAAAGAAATGTCGGAAGCCCTTTCGTAGCGCGGCTCTCCCTTCGGGACCCGCGGGCTCTCTCAAGGTGATCGGCCGACGACCTTGGCCACCCGGTAATCGCCGCGGAGGCGTTTCTTCACCCTCTCGGCTCGTCGACAATCATCTCCGGACTCCGGACCCGGAGAGAAACGGCGGGCGTGCCTCTCGGTCCCGTGAAACGAGGATTCGCGACAGCGGACCGTTCCCCGGCGCGCTTTTCAATAAATATACTCGGGTGACGCGGACGCAGCTCAGCCACGTCCTGGCACAGCGCGCGCGCGCGCGGCCGCGGTGCCCGTGCGAGCGCGAGCGACCTTTCGTCGCCTTGTTCGCGGAATAAATAGAATAATGATCGGCGAGGCGCGCCGAGGTAACACCCTGGACGGCCGAGTGCCGAGAGTGCCCGAAGGCCGAGCCGAGGCGAGCCGAGACGAGACAAGTCCGAGCCGAGCCGAGTCAAGCCGAGTCGAGCCGGGTCGAGTCCAGTCGATCTCAGCCGATCCGATACCGTTTTAGAGGCAATACGGATGGCAGAACTGATAGACCAGCCTCTGGCTGCGCTCGGTCTTCTTCATGATCCCCTTCTTGTAGTACTGCCTGATGCTACGGCTCAGCTTGTCGTAGTTCATGGCCGGCCGATTCTTCCGTTTGCCCCAGAGCCTCGCCACGCGGACCGAGTCCTCGATCTTGAACACGCCCTTGGCCCGATCCAGCCAGCGAATGCAGGACCCGTGAGCCGCCGGGCTCTGCAGCAGCTCCTTCAGGAACTGCCACAGGTGAATGTGCGAGCCGCCGTTTCGCATCTTGCCGGTCCCAGTGCCGCTCGCGCCGCCGCTGCCGCTTCCGTTCCCGCCGCTGCCCGAGCCCGTCTGCGAGGAACCGCAGTCCTCGTCTTCGTCTGCAAAACAAACCCCAAGAAAAACAAACTCCAGTTACCCTTACGCAGCGGCGCCGAAATCCTCGGGTACTCTTTGCTTCCGGAGCACTTCGGATTCTCTTCGCTTTCGTCGTTGAGCGAGTTTCAGGGAATCATGTCGCGCATGGGGTCGTAGAAAGAGAGCGTTTCGGGGATAGTGGGGCAAGGGATGGTATGGTCACAATTAGTTCATAAACAAACAGTAGGTCGGGCGTGGATCGACAGGAATGAAGAGTGTCGAGCCCAAGGCGTAGTCGGAGAGTATTTTGTCATAATTATGACAAAATATGGACATAGGGCATGAAGCGCGATAGGAAATGCATCTAAGAAACCTGCGCTGGACGTGTTCTAGTAAAAGTTGGCATTTTTGGAGAGGCGGCCAGATTTTTTCAGTATTCCACTATACAGTCTTTTAAACAGAATTTAAGACGTATTACTTAATCCTCGGATGGCGGTCCACTTGGACCCAGAGTTGCAAACATTCTATTTAAATTAATTTAATTTGTGACAGTCGTATGTGTAATTATGAACTATTAATATTAAAATTAATAAGAGGAATTACTTTGGTCTCAACGAAGAAGTTTTGATAGTACACAAATGAAAATTAATCGTAAAGATTTGAATGGATCTAAGTGTGGCTACCATAAATGCTGAAAAATGGCCGCCGTCCAAAGGTTAATATCATTTTGTAACGTTATTATAGTGCGTAGAATTTCATCATATTAATTCAAGGAATTGCGTATCTTCTTCTTTTTTTACTTATTTGATACACTGTATCGAGTCATTTCAAACGTGTCTGTACTTTTATAGCTTACAAATAAATGGCGCTTCCATATTCAACCATAGGACGAACAAGAGAGATATGCAGAGGGCGAATGATTGCGATGTCAGAAAATAATGAAGAGGTGCGAAAAATGGAGTCAAGCGTTTTAAAAGCAGGCCCAGCAATATGCTGTAGGTGATAGTGAAGGTATAAGGTACTAGAGAAATAGATGCCAAGATGTTTTAAAATGAATTGAAAAATAGTAAAAAACTAATTGAAAATTAGTTAAACATGAATTGAAAATGAATTGAAAAATAGTTAAACATGAATTGAAAATGAATTGAAAATAAATGAATTGAAAAATAGTAAAAAATGAATTGAAAAGTAGTTAAACATGAATTGAAAATGAATTGAAAATAAATGAATTGAAAAATAGTAAAAAATGAATTGAAAATTAATTAAACATGAATTGAAAATGGATTGAAAATAAATGAGTTGAAAAATAGTAAAAAATGAATTGAAAATGAATTGAAAATGAATTGAAAATGAATTGAAAATGAATTGAAAATGAATTGAAAATGAATTGAAAATGAATTGAAAATGAATTGAAAATGAATTGAAAATGAATTGAAAATGAATTGAAAATGAATTGAAAATGAATTGAAAATGAATTAATTCAAAAATTAATTGAAAATAAATGAATTGAAAATTAGTTAGACATGAATCGAAAATGAATTAAAAATAAATTGAAAATTACTGAAAAATGAATTGAAGATCAATTTAAAAAGAATTAGAAATTAATAAAAAATGAATTGAAAATTAATTGAAATCAATCGTAGGCTGATCGTGAATACGAGACTCGAGGCTCGAAGAGCGACTCACCATCGGAGAAGTCCACGCTGCAGGACGAGCCTTTCACAGTGACGTTGGTTGCGTTTCCAATCGCGGACGAGCCTGTCGAGTTGTTTGGGGTTTGAACGACACCAGCGGGACTCCAGGAAGCCGCCAACGTGTTGCGCGGCGATTCTTCGACGGCTGCCTTCCAAATTTCCAGCTGCGCGTGCAACATGCTTCCGCACTGAAACAACAAACGAAGAATGTCATCGATCTATCGACTATGCGGAAAATTTCAATTGAACCGTTCCAAAGTTCTTCCAGCACATACAGTACGAACGTTTTACATACACCCGCAATCGGTAGAAAAGTCTGTGTTGAAACACCTTGCAACTCTTCGGCTGCAAGACTGGGAGATTTCATCGAATTCAAATATCTGATTTTACGCACGGTTTTGCGGATCCTAATAAAATTAGGAAAATTCGATAGATTCGAGTGAGAACGAATTTTTGAATCCGAGCAAATCGTTTCGCCGCGATGCGGCAATCAAAGCGATACAACGGAATAACGTTTTTTCAAATTGGATCAAGCGACTCCAATTTCTTTCAGACTTTTTAGAGACCTTCACACATTTTTTGAAATCTCAAAAACTACAATTGGATGGAACGACAAAAATAATTTTAAGAATGTAACAAAATTTTAGACTCTCGGTAACTGTCTGTGTATGCAAAACGTTTCAGCGGCACCGATAGACGTTGCTATGAATATATGTATATATGATTATAATAATAAATAGAATTAATTAAACATCGCGAAGATCGCGAAGATCGCGAAGATCGCGAAGATCGCGAAGATCGCAGTTCTTGCGTTCTTCACTTTTGTTATCGTTCCAATCGATTGCAATTTATGCAAAAAAAATATTGCCGCGCATCGTCTAATAGCGTCGACATCCGAAACAAATTGTAGCCGTTTGGTCGAGTTCGATCGAAGTTTCAGGAGGCGTAGGCGGATTTTTTCAATTGAATGCACGATAATAGCACACGCAAACAGATCGGTCGAAACGAATCGCACGAGCCAAATGGCGAATATTCGTGGTGTCGCGCGAGCGGTCCTCGGGTCTCGGGACCGAGTCGTTCACAGTTTACGGAGATTCAACGAGAACGATTACAGATTACACTTTGTTCAATATTCATGAAAGAGGATCAGGGTAATGCGTTCGCAGGCCTCGGTACCGTGCGTTTACGAAAACGACGTTATCGCGAATGACTCCATACAGACTTCATTTGCATGAATACCTGTCCCCTCGGTACAGGTAGGACATTCCGCAAATGTGTTCGGTTACTTCGCGGCGGCTGGCATTCGGCGGTAAGAGGAGAATGCTGGAAAGGAGAGAAGAGGCCGGAGATAATAAAGTAGATAAATTTATCATACCCGAGGATTAATAATACCCTGTCGGAGTTCTCTGGTAATGTAAAACAATTAAGCCGCTTGGCAACGACAACGGCAACGGCAACCGAGCGGCCTACGGAAAGATGCGTTTCAATGAAAAGATGCGCGGTCACTTGATGCGATACGAACGAATCGAGCGGCACGAGCGCGGTCGCAAAATTTTCGTTAATTAATTGATACACGTTTCTCAAGCAGGCTGTCCATCGTTACACGAATGTCCGATCCGTCGCTATTCAGAGACAAGCGTGTTTCTAACGGTTTCAAACTTTTTCATTCGCAGGAAATTAAGCTGCTGTACGTTTCTGCAGTTTATAAAGTAACAGTAAACTAATATATACAGGGTGTCCCAAAAATGTCTCGCAATCCGAGAATGGGAGGTTCCTGAGGTAATTTGAAGTAAGTTTGTCCTTGGCGAAAATGTAATCCACGGCTTTGTTTACGAGTTATTAACGAAAAAGAGTGACCAATGAGAGGTGAGATATGCTGGCGCAAGCGGAACTGGGTTTCGTGCGCTCATTGGCTCGGCCGCCAAGCGCTGGGCGAGCTCGCCTCTCATTGGTCAATGTTTTTCGTTAATAATTCGTAAACGAAGCCACGGGTTGCATTTTCGCTAAGGAAAAACTTACTTCAAATGATCCTAGGAACTTCTCATTTCCGGTTTGCGAGACATTTTTGGGACACCCTTTATGTATTTAGCGTTTATTACTGCTATTAGAAATTATAGTTTAAAACGAAATGCTCGTGTTCACTGGTACTGTCTCGTAAAAAAAATATGTTTATTAGACGGCTCGCGAGGAAAGTTTTTACCGAACGAATTCTCAGGAAAAAGTGGACCCCACAGTTCGAGCATCGAGAATCAAGTATCGGCACCTTTCGACACTTCCCTATCTTTATTGTGAAGACGATTCGATGAACGTTGAATTCGTAAATGTAAGTCAATGGGAGCGTTCAGACGGCAATACGGTAATGTGATACTTCTTCTCGTCTCGAACGATGTATCGCATACGCGTGTCGCGATACACGAGCATCTACGTGTGAAACGGGTCTTAGAATTCCAACGACGGAGCTGTTGTCGTTGCGCCGCGCCGCAGTAGAAGAGAAAGCGTCTAAAGACGCAACACAGACAGTCGCGAGCAATCCAGTCAGTCGGCTAGCCAGCATTGCGGCAGTCAGGCAAAGTAGTCAGCCAACCAACCAACCAGCCAGTTATGCGAACTCCGATTTTGTTAAAGGCTTTTGGGGAGCAAGACTGAAATAGATATATTTGCGACATTTTTGTGTTTAACGAGGGGTGATCTTCCGATACTCCTCCGACTAATAAATAATAATTTGTAGACCTAATGTTCATCTATACATTAGTATTGCGATATTTTATAAGAACTTTTCGTTTATTTTTATAGTTATTTTTAAGTTCCGCTATAATTCTGTATGCCTTATAAATAAACACTTTACAAACAAACAAACCAGCCAGTTAGTCAGTCAGCTAACCAACCAACCAGCCAGCCAGCTAGCCAGGCATTCAAGCAACTGAGTTGACCTACTTTTCGATCGTTCCTGCTGGGCAAATAGCGCGTCCATCGTCCGCGCACTGTCTGCAGTGCGCGCACGTGCGCTAATCCTGCTGCTGGTGGAAGCTGCGCAGGGCAGCGACGCGACGCGACGGGCCAGGAGACGATGGAAGTGGGAAGAGGGGACGAGGAACACTCCAACGAACGCACTTTATTGTTAGATGACTGCGCTACGACCGTGACTGCACAGACTGGACTACAGGCTGCACACGTGGCAGACGACGCGACTCGTAAGTCGCCTAGGATTTCTGCTTGCGACGTGAAAATTGTAACGCGAATCGAGTTCTAGTCGTCGGAAAACGGTGCATTCGAGTCGTTGCGCCGGCGAAATGGGGCAAACGGTGGAAGCGGGAAAAGGTGAGGAGGATCTGCCGGTACCCGTTTGCTTTTCCGTCTTCTCGGAAGAGCCTGTGGCAGCTGCCTCCGGCGCTCGCCAGCAGATGGACACCTTTCCCGTAACTACCTGATTCATCACTGATACGTATAACGTCCTTAATCGTTCTTCCGATATCTCCGCATCTAATGCAGGGCCCGCATAGATTGTACGGATCTTTATGCAAAATGAAAGTTTCCAACATCGATATCAAGAGATAAGAATTTGATAAGAATGCACCTTCTTGTGTTAATAGTTTTAATTATTTTAAAAATAGTGTAGTATCGTAATTTAGTGGGTACGTTTAGGACGAGGAGGAGTGTTAGGCTTAGGAGACCGTAGTTTTAAGACTTTGGTAGGCAATAAAAGAGAAACGTTGGCTAAGGCCGGGTCAGATGGGAAAAACCCTTGGCGACGGAGAGCCGGCGGATGCGATTGTCATGTTTTTGGAAAAGGCAGGCAGTGTGTCGAAGGAGCGTGTTTGGAGTGGACAGAGTGTGTTCAAGAGTCGTCGAGTGAGGAGCGTTGCGAGTTGTACAATTAAGTGAAGTAGTTGTAATCCTAGTTGTAGATACGGTACGCGATATTTCCTGTTTTCATCACGTTTAGTCCTTTCCTAATCAATACATATTCTATATTGTTTAAATATTACACAATTTCTACAATAGCATGCTGCGTTCTTCTAGGCTTTTAATGTTCCTCCAGTCTATTAACCTTTTAGGCACGACGTGCCACTATAGTGGCTTCCGCGGATATCATCTTTTAGAACGACACGCCACTATAGTGGCTTTCGCGGATGTCATCTTTCAGAACGACACGCCACTATAGTGGCTTTCGCGGATGTCATCTTTCAGAACGACACGCCACTATAGTGGCTTTCGCGGATGTCATCTTTCAGAACGACACGCCACTATAGTGGCTTTCGCGGATGTCATCTTTCAGAACGACACGCCACTATAGTGGCTTTCGCGGATGTCATCTTTCAGAACGACACGCCACTATAGTGGCTTTCGCGGATGTCATCTTTCAGAACGACACGCCACTATAGTGGCTTTCGCGGATGTCATCTTTCAGAACGACACGCCACTATAGTGGCTTTCGCGGATGTCATCTTTCAGAACGACACGCCACTATAGTGGCTTTCGCGGATGTCATCTTTCAGAACGACACGCCACTATAGTGGCTTTCGCGGATGTCATCTTTCAGAACGACACGCCACTATAGTGGCTTTCGCGGATGTCATCTTTCAGAACGACACGCCACTATAGTGGCTTTCGCGGATGTCATCTTTCAGAACGACACGCCACTATAGTGGCTTTCGCGGATGTCATCTTTCAGAACGACACGCCACTATAGTGGCTTTCGCGGATGTCATCTTTCAGAACGACACGCCACTATAGTGGCTTTCGCGGATGTCATCTTTCAGAACGACACGCCACTATAGTGGCTTTCGCGGATGTCATCTTTCAGAACGACACGCCACTATAGTGGCTTTCGCGGATGTCATCTTTCAGAACGACACGCCACTATAGTGGCTTTCGCGGATGTCATCTTTCAGAACGACACGCCACTATAGTGGCTTTCGCGGATGTCATCTTTCAGAACGACACGCCACTATAGTGGCTTTCGCGGATGTCATCTTTCAGAACGACACGCCACTATAGTGGCTTTCGCGGATGTCATCTTTCAGAACGACACGCCACTATAGTGGCTTTCGCGGATGTCATCTTTCAGAACGACACGCCACTATAGTGGCTTTCGCGGATGTCATCTTTCAGAACGACACGCCACTATAGTGGCTTTCGCGGATGTCATCTTTCAGAACGACACGCCACTATAGTGGCTTTCGCGGAT